CTCTCTCGTTCGTTCGTTCGGTCGCTCCCTCTCTCTCTCTCTCTCTCTCTCTCTCTCCTTCCTCAACGTGTAAAATCGTATAAACTGCGAAGATAGGATCTGCGTCGACCACGCCTCGAAAGACGATCGAACCTCCTCTACCGTATACGTCGAAATCATTTTTGACGTATTCCAAGCGAATTAGCATAGGGTGCGTCCTGTCCAGGCTTTATCGAGACTCGAGAGACTTACGTTTACTTTACGTAAGAGTACAACGTGCATATAACGGAAGCCATCACTCGATATTGACGTTAGACAATAGCCACCGTGTGGCAGGATGATTCCTTACCGACTACCTCGTTTCTCCCATGCCCCCTATTGAATTTCCATACGCGCAAATTCTCTTCCACGAGAGCGTCTTCCGTTAAAGGAAGGGACACGTAAAACCGGTAAAGCACGTTGGCTAAGTATATGTAAAGTATGATTTTTTTTTTTTTTTTACGAAAAATCATTTCAAACGAGCCCACGGATTAGTTTTACGAACCTGATAAATCTCGTCTAACGCAGCTAACGAAATAACAACGAATATTATCTATTTGTAAAAAGAGATAAGACGAAATACATTCGTAGTATCATCAAGTTGCTACCCTCTTTCGATGATCCTTATGAAGAGACAAAGTTAATTTCCCGCCAGAAATCCTATTATCAACCATCGATATCCTTCCTGCGCGAATTCTACATTACCGACGTATCGACAAGAGAAATATTACCGACGTTTCAATGATTTTTTTCATTCTAGATTTCTACGTTATCGTCTACGGTCGAGCCGAATACCGCATTACGATGAAAAGATAACTTTCAAGAAAGACCGATGTGAACCTCACAGAGGGATCTTTATAGGTTTTAGAAAGGGATCGCGACCCCTTGAGAGGAGCAGGTTTCTCATCTGGAAACACAAAGAGAGTCTTGTCACGGATCGACGATTCAAACGAAGTTTCAACGGAAAAGTGAGAATCTCCTTGTTACGAAAAATATTCTTAGTGATCTAACGATAGAATAACACGTATAAAAATTAATGAATCTTTGTGTTGAGACCTAACGAAAAAATCGAGAAGAAATAAGTCGTATAAAAAGATTTATTTCGAATCGATCGGAAGGTGCAATGTGCAAGGTGCCATATTCGTGATGGGGAAAACTCTACTAGACAGCTGATCGTACACAAGGCGAGAACAATCAAATTGCAACGAAGCGTCTCTTGTCGCGATTGTAAAAGCCGATCGGTTCGTGACCGAGAAGGATTTATTCGAACGAGTTAGTTAAAATTCAATACGCGATCTCCACTTATTTTTCGACGATCGAAGAGTGACGATATTCTCGTGTATGTACACTTGTCGCATCCTCGTTCTACGTTATCGATCGAGCACGTGAGAGAGAGAGAGAGAGAGAGAGAGAGAGAGAGAGAGAGAGAGAGAGAGAGAGAGAGAGAGAGAGAGAGAAATACGGTAACGTTAGTCGACGAGATACACTTGTTCGAAAATAAAAGGAAAAGGCTTCCTCCTTCTGTATGCCTTCCTCTCGAGAAATTTTCAAGGATAACCAGTATCGTATTCTGTAACGAATGATGTAAGCCCGCACCTTTTGTCTTTCTTCGCTGGCCGTTAGAAATCTCAACGCGTCTTCTTCTTCTTCCTCGTCGTTGTCGTTGTCGTCATTGTCGTCGTTGTCGTCGTTGTCGTCGTCGTCGTCGTCGTCGTCGCCGTCATCGTCGTGCGTGCATGCGGCGTGAATGCGCGCGCGCGCGCACGTGCGTTGCGTACATAGGTGTGTTTGTAGTGAGTGAACACCGTGGGTGAGCTCGTCGTACACCCACTTACACAGGTGGCTTCCTTTTTCATTCACACCGCGCGGCTTCGTGCAAAGACGGCAGTAGTAGAAAAGATCTCTTGGAGAAGGATTTCCTTCTTGCTTACAGCAGTACGTGCCACGATGACGCCAACAACGTTACTACTATTTTCATCCTCGATGAATTCAATCATTCTTCTTTTTCTCGTCGCTCTTACAAACGCCAATTATACGGACATTAATTTGCCGGCGAGTCATATGAGGTACTACTTTCATTCTTTTCCCACGGTGGCCGAAAAGTGCCGAAACGATACATCCTGTCCGTATAAGGTAAGCGTTTTTTTTTTCCTATTTTATTTTTTCTTTTTCATTATTTTCGTTTTTTCTTTTCTTTTCACACTTCGTTTACTATCTCGCTACATTTAGATCATTATTTCTTGCAACTTCGGCCCCATTTCGGCAACGTTTTACTTTTCGAAATTTCGCGCGTATGCAAGTGTATTAAATATAGAGAAATATTTGAAACTTTTCGTCACAGGACAGTTTTAATGCCAAAGCATGCTGGGGTTACGAGATCGAATGTAAAGAAGAAAATTCCTTTTCCGTTCCCCACTGTCCGGGTGATCACAAAGGATGGGTCGCGACGAAAAAAGCGCAATTAGACACGTTCTATGCACAAGGAGATTTTGGCTATGTACGAGATCAAAGAAGAGAAATGATTATGATGTGCGAGCCTCTTTTTGCCGTAAGTACTTTCATTTATAAAATTTGTACAAATATTTTCTTCCGAAGAAAATATCGATCGTATTGTTTTTCGAAGGACGACACGTCGTTGGAATGCTCCGAACATATGAGATTCTGTCGAGCTAGGAACGTATTATTAAATTTCACGGATCTTCTATACAGAAAGGAACCTATAAGATATAAAATGGATGTTTTGAAGGAAGGCCAAATCGGTGGTTATTGCACGTAAGGGAACGTTTAGGCGTTTCTAAAAGTAATTCATTTGATTTAACGAAACATTTAACAGGAACGGCAAAACATCGTTCTGTCAAATTTAGGCTGAACGAAAGGAAGCTACAAGAACACGCGGATCATATTAGCCCGCTACAATCCTGGGGACCGGAGTTACGAAATTTTCGTAGATTTCATCGGCGTCCGATCGTTGAAGGCGATTGCGATATCGTTATAGAAAAACCTACCTACATAATGAAAATAGATGCCAGTAAGCGAATCAATATATCATACGAATTTCTATTATAAGAATTTTGAACGTTTTCAAATTTTGCTTTCTCTCCCTTTCATTTTTCTTCTCTCCCTTTTCATCTTCTTTTTTTTTTTTTTTTTTTTTTTAATTAACGTTTTACGAAAGACAAATTGTTTTAGTAGTAAACATGTATCATCATTTTTGCGACTTCTTCAATCTGTACGCCTCGTTGCACGTCAATCTTTCGCATCCAACCGCCTTCAGTACGGACAATCATATAATGATTTGGGAAAGTTACAGGTAATTGGCATCGGCATAAAACAAAAACCACGAGTTCTAGAGAAACTATAATATGTCCCGTTCGTTTTATTTTCAGTTATCGATCGGCCTTTCAAGATACGTTCGAAGCTTTCACGAGCAATCCACTGTGGGATCTAAAAACGTTCCGCGGTGAAACAGTTTGCTTCCGGAATCTCGTATTTCCATTACTACCGCGAATGATATTTGGACTTTATTATAACACGCCTCTCGTACGTCTATTACTATATTTTTTTTTTTTCTTCATTCGAGCAATAATATCAAACGCTATTAACGACACATCCTATCGTTTTTCAGATTTATGGCTGCGAGAAGAGTGGTTTGTTTAAAGCTTTTGGAGATCACGTATTACACAGACTCAAAATACCTCTGCTCCAAAGAAAAAATGAGAAAATACGTGTAACCCTACTCAGCAGAGATACTCAATATAGGAAAATATTAAACGAGGAAGAATTGGTACAAGCTTTGAAAGAAAACAAAGAATACGAAGTTCGAAAGGTATGGACAGATTCTAACCTATGTAAAAGAAAATAGAGAATCTACGTACCCTTACGGTCGAATTTATAAAACTTCTCTATTTAGGTGGTTTATAATAAGAAAGTATCCTTTAAAAAACAACTTCAAATCACAAGAAATACCGATATATTCATCGGTATACACGGAGCAGGATTAACTCATCTATTGTTTCTACCTGACTGGGCTGCCGTTTTTGAGATGTGAGAACTATCGAGATGTATCGAGAAATCAACACATTCGAGAATTATCGACACATACCGTTATCTTTAATGTTCTTTCAATATTTTTTCTATAGATACAATTGCGAGGATCCCAGCTGTTACAAAGATCTTGCGAGATTACGAGGTGTTAAATATTTTACGTGGGAAGACAATTCTAAATTAATTCAACAAGATCCTGTGAGTGATTGAAATATTCTTTGTTTACTTGTTAATATAAGAGAAGTTAATAACAACAACTAACCTAAAATTTTCATCCCATCACACAGGGTACACATCCCGACGGTGGTGCTCATGCCAAATTTACGAATTATCATTTTGAGGTTAAAGAGTTCCTACGTATTGTTTCTCTGGCTAGTACACACGTGAAACATCATAATGCTTTCAAAGATTTCTTAAGTAACAATATGATTCAAAAAGAAAAAATACATAGTAAAACGAAGAAGAAAGATAATAAAGTACTCGAAACGTCGGAGGAGGAGAGAGTGTCTAAAGTACAACATAAACGTTATACCCAATCTAAGGACGAATTATGACGAATTTAGGAAGATAAATTTCTTAATGAAAAAAAAAAAAAAGAAAAAGAAAAAAAACTAAACAACGGGTATATCGTCGTCGAACACTGTAATTACAAATACACAGAGGAAACGCTTCGTTACCAGTTAAAACTATTTTACTTATTTTTTATACCGATGTACATACATATTTGTTTTGATAAAAAAGAAATAAATATGAGACGTTTCTCGATATGTCTGTGCAATGGCACGTGGCAGTGATCATTTTCTTCAACTGATTTATTAATTACAGAGTCGAGTCATTGATTGTAATTAATTATATATATATATATATATATATATATATATATATATATATATATATATATATATATATATTACAGAAGTAAATTTTCTGCTATTAGGTTATGGAGGATATCATTTTCTATGATATTATTGAGCATTGACACGGCATACATCTTCTCTTTCATCGTATAACAGATATCGTAAACAAAATTTCATCTGATTAATAATTTTGTACATTTTACAGTTTGAGTTGCACTTGCCATCTGTATAATATTAAAATGAAAAGTATATTTACAGCCGTGTATGCGATTATTATCTGAAGAGCTACAGTTTTTCCAGCGTATAACGTTGATATAAGTAAATTAATAAGACCTGTTAACATGTTACACGACAAGAAAAAAACAAGTCCATTGTAATTAACAGCCTCGAAAATTTCTAAAGTTCTTTTAATCGGACTATCGACAGGTAAATCCTGCAAACTATCTTGCTTCATATCGTGCTTATTTTCTCGTCTAGTTTTAAAACCAGCTTTATGTCTCTTATGTTTTACTTCGCCCATTTTTTCTATTACCTTGTCATTTTTATTATCAATGCTTTTATAATCCGATGTTGCATAAATTAATATATCTGTTACTACTTCAATAAGTAATAAGAGTGTAAGCATCATAGTGCTTAATGTAAGTATCCATGCACAATAACCCGCGTTGGCCAATCTTCTTGATATCCCAAAGTATTTATCGCAAAATAATGTTGCCGCACATGCCTGGGCTGCTATCAATGATAATTTTACGCATAGTATCATTGATTCATTGTAACTTGCATCTAAATCATATCCAAAGATTTTAATGTGAATATTTTTTCTCGGGTGTAAAGTAATACCTGAATTTAAATTTAAATAAGTGGAGTGTATCAATCTACCAACTGCAACACCAACGAGATATAATCCTACATAACCCGGTATAGACATAAGACCTTCTCTATTCGCACTGATAAAATTAATTCTTGGTTCGTTGCTTAAAATCCATTCCTTCAAACCATTATTAGTTAAGATATACTCGTGCATAGCCAAAATCCATATACCAGAAAGTAAAGAATACCTTGAACTTATCGTACTTGTTATCGTTCTAGTAAATAATTTGACAAATGCCAATGTTATAAAGAAATTCCAATGAACTCCATATTCGGTAGTATGTCTTTGATAACCTAAAAATTCTATTGCTAAAAATCTTCCAAAGCCTAACAATAATAACGGTATGGAACTCTTTAAAGGACTTTTCAAATTCCTTGACAATGTACCAAAGAAACCTTCTTTGGGTTGACTACCAAAATCTCTAGCCTCTGGTGCAACTAAAGCATTAGCTAATATAAATATACCAACACCGGTATCCATTAAACTATAACCAAATACTTCAGTTTTGGCAAACTTTCGTGGAAATATACGAAAGTCTACGGCTAATATACATATTACTGTAATGATATTGGAAAGTGCTCGGAAATTTGTTACAAATGGCCTTTTCCCTCTTATCGGCCTTAATATACAACTAGTCAGTGCATGTACTTTGATTCTCATTAACATAATATTTATGAAAGAAAGAACGATCATTAAAACGCATACGTTGCTAACGTATTCTGATAATATGGTACAACACAAAATGCATGGAACAACGGTTAACACGAATTCTATGACAATTTTCACATTTCTATGTAAATATTTTCCATAAAGCCCTAAAGTAGTTATTGTTAAAAGAACACCGCATACATTTGGTAAAATAACGTGAACAACCTCTTGTGACGTTGTCCCTCCATGATTTGAAACAAACGCTTCTTGTTCCAACCGGTAGCGCTCCTTATCTCGCGAAGACTCCATGTTTATAAAATCATTGATTTCTTTGTACCCAAATTTCTAAAGAAGTTCAGCATATATAAAGATTATATAAAAGGTAATGTTAAAAATACGAACTTACAATTTTCGATGAAATTCTTTGATTCTCCTGGGCAGCATGACATTAAACGAAATTGAGAGAAAACGTATAGAATAATTCAATGATATGGTGCATAAACACACATGTATTTCCATTACTAAACGCATGGTGGCGATAGTGGCATCAAGGCTATTCAACGCCCTTAATATTATAATGATTTACGTCGGCAACGAATCAAGATGTAATTTTTCGTCGATTTCGATGAACAATTACATCGTTTTAAAGATGAACAAAATGACTTTTCAAATGAAACGATAACTTTTCACAAAACACTCTCTTTTTTAATGGTCAATATTAACAAATTGATACTTTAATGAATTAATTTTCTTTTTTATTTCGAAGAGTAAACATCGACACTCTCTCTTTCTAAACGTGAAAGCTTATAAATTAATACCTTTCATTAACTTTCCAATTATTTAAACAATCTTTAATATACGCGGAGTATTATACTAATATTTAAACAATAGTACATTCGTTTAAACGTTAAAAGGACTGAAAATAATTTTGATATCGAGATAATTATCCTTGTGTAATATCAACATTTTCGGTCTTTTAATTAACTTTAAGACGTTTCAAAAATCTTTTCTATCCAATTTTAATTAAACTTTGAAATACTCAGAAACTCTAATTGCTTTATTATTATTATATATTCCAAATGATGTTTACACAATTATTAATAACTATTTAGATTGATATTCAATAAAAAAAAAGCTTTTGATAAGAATAGACAAATTTCTTCTCTCTAAAGATTAAAGATTTAGATTTTCTTTGATTTTCTTTTGATTTTTAAATGATAGTAGTACTAACAGTATATGAGAGTACAGTCACTGCAAAAAGTATCGGGGTAATGGCTGATCAAATAGATTTTATCATTTGTATAAATTGAATTAAAAACGGAAAAAATAAATTTTATTCAATTAATAAAAGCTTTTCAAATTGATCTTCGGAGAAGTTTATAATCTGGCATATGGTTTTTCTTGCTTTTATCAAATCTATTGCTATTTTTATTATGTGCAAAAATTTCTGTTATGTACTAACTCGACTTTTAGGTTATGAATGAGTGAGATACATAATCTTATACACCAATGAAATGGGCGCATAGTGTAGATAATGTTTCTAAAAAATAGTATTGACGTACGATAATGGTGATATGTAAATGTTTATGTGTATTTTAAAAAGTGATATAAAGATACGAAATGTTGTTGAATAAAATCAATTACGTGATAATGTTTAAACATTGAATACAATTTTCAATTAGAATTTCATTCTCTCAAAAAATACATTATTTTAATACAAGTGAAGTATTTAAAAAATAAGTCAACATTATGTCGAAAAAAAATTACGTATCATTGGAAAAATCACAAAGATCCAAACAAAATGAAATACCTGTTAAAGATAATGTTTCACTAGTCGAAAGAATGAAGCCTATGAATTTTACTTCTTACATGGGTCAAAAACATGTGATCGGACCTAATACAATATTACGTAGCTTTTTGGAAATAGGAGAAATTCCTAGTATGATATTGTGGGGACCACCAGGCTGTGGTAAGGTACTTTGACTCTCTGAAGGATCAAATTCTTAAATAATACATTTTGATTTCTACCTTAAAAATAAACCTGATATAATATTTTTCAGAAATCTTTAGTCAATATTATAATACAATTAACCAAAGAAAAGTTCCAAGATAAAACGCATATTGTAAAATTAGCTGCAACAACGTGTGGCATTGGAGAAGTTAAAACAGCTGTAGAAAAGGCAAAAAGTTCATTGAAATTTGGTCATAGAACAATTGTCTTTATGGATAACATCCACCGTTTCAATAAACTACAACAAGATATATTCTTACCACACGTAGAAGCTGGGACATTTATTCTCATTGGAGCAACAATAGAAAATCCTTCGTACAGTTTGAATTCAGCATTGCTAAGTCGTTGCCGTATATTTTCATTAAGTAAATTATCACCCAAAGACATCATTGAAATACTTAAGAAAAGCATACATTCCATGGATGGTAGAATCCATAATTCCCAGAATTCTGACAATGCTTCAAAATTTATAATTCATAGTGACACATTGGAATGGTTAGCTGAAGTATGTGATGGAGATGCACGAACTGCATTAAGTGGTTTAGAATTTGCAATTTGTGCAAAAAATTTATCATATGATAAAACATCCGTTATAAGTCTTGAAGATATTAAACAAGGTTTAATAAGTATGTACATGGAAGCAAACAATAAAAATGAACAGACGTATCATTTATATTCTGCTTTGCACAAATCAATTTGTGCAGGCAAGCCAAATGCTTCTTTATATTGGTTAGCCAGAATAATGGCTGCTAAAGAAGATCCTGTGGATATTGCTAGACGTTTAATCAGAATATCAGGCGAAGATATTGGTCTAGCTGATCCAGATGCTTTAGGTAATATGTCGATAAATTGTAATACTTATTATCATAGTACATATTGTAATATATAGAATAATGAAAATAATTCTTCATTAGATTTAGCTGTTCATACACTGAATGCTTGTCAAATGATTGGTATGCCTGAAAGCGATGTTCTGTTAGCACAATGCGTAATTTATTTAACCAAAGCACCAAAATCTCGTCTGATTTATAATGCCCTGAAGGCAGCTCAAAAAGTTATTAATGATACCAAAGAACAACCACAGCCATATATTCCGTAACACATTAAGAAGTAGAAAGAAAGTATTAATGATAAAATTATAATCTTCCATTTTTTAAGTACACATTTGCTATGATAATTATTGTATCATGTTTAAATTATTTTTTATAGGATCGCATAAGTATAATTTATTAAGGATACAAGAAACTAATAGTAATCATCTGTCAAAGAATCTGCATCAAAGAGGTTAATTTATTCCACAAAGATCAACCATGATCATTTTTGTGTACTACGTTAATTTTTCTACATTATAAAATTTCTACATTTTCTATATTATAAAAATAAAATTTATTTTCTCTTCTTTGAGTTCCCATTGACTTTCGGCCTGGGCTAATAATATAAGTAATTATGAATATTGTATGTACATATCGAAGTCTCAAGGGCGCATGCGCAAAACTATTTATCATCGTAAGATTAGTTAAAATACTTTCGATGTTTAATCGTACCTTTGTACACCAGATGGCAGTTTCGAGAATCGATCGGTCGAAAATATCGAGATGTTACATATTTAAATGTATTTATTAATACACCTTACAATTAATATATATTACGTTATTTCACACTGACGTAAGCGACATAACATATATAATTACGGAAAATTAAAGTAACATATATAGAAACGCAAAGGAAAATTTAGAACAACCCTCGTATGTAAGAATAGCGTAATCGATCAAGCATATACACCTTGGTAACGCCGAATTTTTCGCGATTATCTATTTTTTGTTTTGTTTAACGAATACACGAAGGGTATATCAGTAGGAGTAGAAAGATCAGTGATGTGTGCACGCTACAGTGCCTTCCTTCATGATAAAGGATAAAAGCATCCTCTTATGAAGTGTCGGCTAATCACCCGAATAATTTTCAAGACTCACAATTATGTTTTATAATTAAATACGCGTACCCTAGCTTTTCCTGTCTATTAGACTCGCCCTCTTTCTCGCTCATCTCTCTCTCTCTCTCTCTCTCTCTCTCTCTCTCTCTCTCTCTCTCTCTCTCTCTCTCTCTCTCTCTCTTTATCTCGAGAAGCTCGTTCTTCACGTAATTGGAATGTCCACATGAGGCTGTTAAGATTTCTGCTCCGTTACTTTCCACCAGGTAAGTTAATGATGTTCTTAGTGAAATATACATTGCTTTGTCCACTGATTCGTCGTTCTATCTATGAAATTCATCCGCCTCTACAAATTAAATCTATTTTATAGGTCTCGCCTTGGAATACAGGCAAGGTGGCGACGTCAAAACTAAAATGATCGACCTTTTGGATCTATCTATCGAGTAATTGAATTTTTCATTTTATCGTCATTGTACAGTCGCCTTTCGTAGTCAATAAAATCAACAAATCATTTAATCTTCCCTTTTTTGCTTTATATTTTTATTTCTTATACGTGTTCTAAAAATTAAAGACAGAAACAAATTTTTTTTACCGAAAGACGAAGAGAGAGAGAGAGAGAGAGAGAGAGAGAGGCGGGGGGGGAAGAGAAAATAAAAGATTTTGCTCAATGTAAGGTAGAATGTAAAATCGCAAGGCTTATTTTGCAGGACTGACATAAAAGCACTGGCAGAGAGCATAAAAGCAAGCGAGCCCGTAATAACCGAAAGTGTAATGGACCAGTTAGTGGAAACATTGCAGAAACTACAGGCCAAAGTGTGCAACGTAGACGTGAAGCGTTACTATAAACATAAGACCCTACGAACACACCTTCTTCCTTTAACCAACATAGCGTTCGATAAATTAGGTAAAAGGTACTATCGATTAAGGTTATTCGATATAAATATCGGTTTGTCCCTTGTACATTATTAACAATAATTAGTTATCGCGTATATAAATGATCTTATAAGATATTTATAAGATCTCATGATAATAAATGACAAATTTTTAACAGATGTTTGACAGGAAGCTACGACCGAACTTGTAAAGTTTGGGACATCGAAAGTGGAAAAGAGCTTCTTACTCTCGAAGGCCATAAAAACGTGGTCTATGCCGTTTCCTTTAACAACCCGATATCGTAAGTTTTATTTAACAAATTCCCGATCGATGACTGCGCTTTATTTATCCTTTTATCGGTTCAGAGACAAAATCGTGACCGGATCGTTCGATAAAACAGCGAGCATTTGGTGTTCACGTACCGGTCATTGTTTGCTCACTTTTTGGGGTCACGACGGTGAGGTGGTAGTGACGAAATTTTCACCAACGCAGAATAAAGTTGCGACGGGTTCTCTTGATGCTACTTCAAGAATATTTAATCTTACGACAGGTAAAATATTACACCTCTTGTCAAATTATAATGAGAAGATTTTTAAACGTATGACTTAGAGTAGGTCAAGTGGCTATCTTTTGAAAGAACCTTTCGTTTTTATCGAAAGAACGAGAATAAAGATAAGATCTGAATGGAGGCCAATTCGACAGGTCAAGAACTGGGCTTGCTGAAGGGCCACACGGCGGAAGTAATTGCGCTTCATTACAACGACGACGGGAATCAGATCATAACGGGCTCCTTCGATGGCACCGTCAACGTCTGGGACACGAGAACCTTCACGTGAGTTTAAATTTTATTTCTTCTCTATCCTCTCTCTTTCTCTCTAACTAATCAAGAGATACGATCGTACTCAATGAAATTCTATATAAATTCTTTCCTTATACATAGACGAGTTTGCGCTTTGATTGGGCATCGTTCGGAATTATCCAATTGTCTCTACAACTTCGATTACTCTCTGATAGCTTCCTCTTCGATGGATAAAACTGCAAAGATATGGGATACTAGGAAAAACGAATGTTTAGCTACGTTATTGGGCCACGACGACGAAGTTCTCGACTTGACTTTCGATAACAAGGGGAAGAAATTGGCCACAGCGAGCAGCGATACCACAGCCCGAATTTGGGATACGACTACGGATTTTCGACAGGTCTCGGTGATGCAGGGCCATCAAGAGGAAGTTTCAAAAGGTAATATTTAATTAAAAATCGACAAGTCAAGGGCTCATAAGATATTTTTTATTTAACTTGCTCTCCTTGAAATCGTTCGTCCGAAAAAAAGGTACACTTTTAGCTCGTCGACGTCGTCCAGTTTGTTTCAGTCCACGCGGCCACCATCTTTTGACCTCTTCTCTGGACAAAACGGCTCGTTTATGGTCTTTAGAATCCGGATATTGCGTGCAGAAACTCGAGGGCCATACCGACGATGTATTCAGCTGCGCCTTTTCATATACAGGCGATACAATCATCACGGCTAGCAAAGACAATACTTGCACTATTTGGAGATGACTGGATTGGTTCAAAGTGTGTCCATAGCTTATACTCGTTTTTCTGTTTACAGCTTATATTCTTTATTTTTATGTTATTTGAATCTTATACCAATTTGATTTTTAACTAACTATAATATTATAAAACACGAAAGATTCGCGAATAGAATTGCAGTCCCGTTAAATGATCACTATGTCATATATAATTATGCGAGGATCATAATTTTAATCTTAAGAAGTAGTTGAATTTCCGGTGAAAGTTATAAAGGTTTCTGTAAAGATTCGCTTGAAAACACAAGAAAGCAAATGTAAGTTTGAGACAGCGTAGAAATATTATCTATGTGTTTACGTAATTTGTTGTTTACACAAATACTTAATTAAATGCAAGGTATTAGACGTATTGAATATTTACAAGAAGGCACAATGAATATTCTTCATTATAATGTTTAAATACATACATGAATATAAAATATATGGTAATAATAGCACGAAAACTCTGTTGCGTTACGGATATTTTTTCTCAAGGAATTTTATTTTAGAACTTTGAAATTCACTTAGGAAAAAAATAGAAATGAAATAATTTATTTTTTTCAGAAGAGTGAAGAAAATCATGATCGTCGTTGTAGACGAATACATACACGTTCTTGGCCCCTCTCTAACGTAAAGTCGTCGGACTCTTACCGACCTATAAGCATTCGACGTCTTGGTGAGAGAGAGTCAGTCGTATGCTCGAACTCTCGAACATCGTGTATCGTTTATACTATAGTCATTTCAAGAAAGGTACTACTCGTGGATAACCGGTTTTTATGAAACGTGGCACGACTTATTAGATCATGTGTAAAATAATGTGCGAAAATAACTATTGATTATCCTTACCAAGAGGAAAATTTTTCTACGATCGAGATAATATCAAAATTAAGATACATTTTTAACATGAAAGTATCTTTGTCAAAAAATATTTCAATGAGAACATAAATATTCAGAGTGTTGTAATTAAAATTAATTAGAAGAAAACTACATACGTCGTTCGTCTTTTGAACGATAACATGTAAAAAGATCTCTTTGACGAAGATTCAAGCGTGCTCGTTATCATTTAACACAGAAAGATGCTTGTACGAAAATGATGTGAATGTGTCAAAGTTATATCGTTCCAAAAGCAAACGATGCTTTGTATGAAAAAAGAAAAATACCATTTTCGTTTGTATTCTCACGTTTCAAATGAACACTTTGAACGCCGGGTAAATGCAAAATAATTAGCGGTGGTTTCTCATTGTCTCGTCTTGCGTCGTACAATTAAGGAAGGAGAGAATGTGTCCTCGTGGAAATTCAAGCTTTATCTATTCTTTTTTTAACGATCTTCCTTCCTCATCTTCTCTTCCCTCTTCTTATAATAATAAATAAGTTATACGTAAACTCTCGCTTAAAAATTGTTCATTATTCATTATAAGGTAAGTCATTTTCTACTCATAATATTTATACGAATAAATTTAACGAAATATTAGATACTCTTAAGTCATTAAGATGGAACCAATTTTAATCGAATGAAATTTATTGACAGCTGATTTGCTCTTAGAAATACCGTCGGAGGTATCAAAGTACGTCGATCATTCTACATTTTGGTCTTCCTCAAATACCAAGTCCCGAGAGGACGTTCCACCTACCCTTGAGAAATACGTTGAAATGTATCTCAAATATTTCCTCAAGATTATTATGATCTCGAGTGATATAACGTGTAACCATGGAACAAATTAATTGAGTGCACGTCGTTCTAACCCCACCGCTGGATTAAATATTACCTGCGTTAAGAGTCTTTCGTCGTATATTATATACCTTCGTGGATGCGACGAGAGACACGCGTGGAAATTGATTACGTAAGATTTTTCGTATACGCTCACTAAATTCTCCTGCCTGAAACTGACAGGGAGAGAGAATGAAATACGCGAGTGTCTCCCAGAAGTGCCTGAACGAGAAAGAATTTAAAGTGGTCGCTTCAAAAAGTCCTGCACTTTTTATCTTATCTCTCTAAAACTTTCTTTTTCCTCTCTCTCTCTCTCTCTCTCTCTCTCTCTCTCTCTCCATTTCTTAGTGTTTTACAATTTAACGAGATATCAAACGAGATAGAAGATTCGTGACAAATTGTTATCAGGAAGAAGCGTCGCTTATTATTATTTAAAAAATCAGATTTTCCTAAGATTATTTTTCGTCTTTTCTCTCTCTCTTTCTTTCCTTCTTAGTATTTCATAATTTAACGAGTGATCGAACGGTAGAATATTCGTGACAAATTGTTACCGAGAAGAACCGTCGCTTGTTATTATTTAAAAAACCGGATATTGCGCAAATACATAGCTCCAACATTAGTAAAGATGTACCAAAGTCTGAAATTAATGTCGGAAATAAATTGCACGCTTTGGACGAATCAAACAGAGTATTATTTATTTGCAATTTTCAAGGATTACAAATATATTTATGCAGATATATTATAACGTTAACGATGATCGGTTTTCTTGGTGAAAGTTTAACTTTCGTTCTATGCAAGATCCAGTTCCCGTATACTTCCTTCTCATCGCTCGGCTTTACATCGATTATTCCACCGACTGACCTTTCTTTTCTTGCTTCTATGTCAAGGCTAGTCGAGTACTATGCCAGCTAAAGCGGAAAGAAAATTTTATCGGCACAAACACGTAATATGAATTTTTTTTAAATATCGTAAGAGATAAGATTCCTCGCGTAAATTTCATTCGGCAACGAAACGTTAAAAATCGATGGAATTAAAAAAAAAAAAGAAAAAAGCCAAAAGAATTTCCTTGAGAAAGGAAGGAATAAAAAAGAAAAAAGGAAAAGAAAAACATAACAAAAAATAAAATAAAATAAAACAAAAAAAAAAAAGAGAGTACTCGTAAGATCGTTAAAAAAGGAATAAATTCTATGTACGCAATCACGTGGAAACGCTAGAAAGGTTACTAATGGTGAAATCGTGTTGAACTTAAAGATGGTCCCCCGCTCGAGAGCCCTTACGCTCGATCTTCGGCACGTTCTCTCTGTCCGCTTTGGGAATCTCTCGACCGTTTATATATTTTTATTTTATCTTTTTCTTTTTTTCTTTTTTCTTTTATCACTTTAATGAGTCACGTTCGTACCGTTGTAAGTATTCTACATAAGCTGATAATTGTAGGCAATAACATTCATACGAATTATACAATATCATAGAATTATATTCGTAGAATTCGCGTAGACATTTTTAATAACTATTTTTGGTAAATAAACATTATCACTACGACGTGACGTTAACATTATCATACGCGATATCATAGTTGAAAAAAAAAAATATTTTGTTGTTTATTGGTAATTTAAAATATTTTCGCATAGAACAAGTCACTAACAACAGAAAAGTCTTTATCGATAAACCTTGACTCCTTTTTTTATTGTTTTCTTCGCTCTCTATTTGTCTCGATCGTCTACGTGACGAGAAGAGAGGTGTATTAACGATGTTATTTTCTTACGTAAGATTCTAACGCATATTCTCTTTTTTTTATTTATTTTTTTTTTTTATTACATACCTTTTCGCAAAAAAGAGGAATCAATTGGTAATTAATCGTAAGTGTCTTCATATCCGATAAGAATAATTAAAAGATTTTCTTAGATGAGCAACCGTAAATTTTGACCTAGTATGCGAGCCTTGAATTTATCATTGAGATGGGGGTCGAAAAAATATCATGCACAGTGCATAATGATTTAACTGCGACGCCTATTATCCTTTTGCTTCGACAGCCATGAGCTCTATTACCGTTCATTCGCACCTATCAGCCATTGTCTTACGTCCCGAGAATGTTACCAATGCGTTTTCACGATCCCCTAACGCAATTTAACCTTATATTCAAAGTGTGTATTTTAAGAGCGTTGAACGACTCCAAGATTATTCTAAGAGCGTTGAGCGAAGATCCAAACGATAACTCGAAGAATGTTACCAATCCTTCTAATAATTATTTCTGAAAATGATATTAGGAATTAAATCAAATACAGTCTTGATTTTCTTTTTTCTTGTTTTTTTCTTTTCTTTTAAACGAGTCGACTGTCAAATTTCCTTTTCCCTCAAAACAAGATTGATTCGATTATAATCGGTAAGAATCGTATTCGATGATCATTGGGTTTACTTCGCATGGTCCGCAAACACGCAACGGAGGTTGAAACAACTCGTTATCGATGAACGCGCCCGCGATTGGTAAACGCTTAGGCAAATAGCGGAAATTTCATGATTAACGGAGATAACGATGGATACGCACGATCGCTATTTCCTGGCTCTTTCCCAAAATTACGTATAGTCGCGGCGCGGTGGCTTCGTCAACGAGGACGAGATCGCACGATTATCGAAAACTATTCAGGCCTAAATAGATACGTCGGTTTAACATGTAATTAACGAGGGAATTAATAAAATGAATTTGTAGATTAATTAAAGCGATATTGACGTTGACGTTTTGTTTTAGATTGCCAAGATGACCACTGGTATCGACAACTTGGCTTTCGACACGGCCCACCATACCACGGTAAGCTGTTCCTCCATTTTTAATGATATAATAATAACGAAAGAGACAGATTAGGAGATCGTGCAAATGAATACTGGCTTACAACATCTTCCCTACGTGATTTGGAATGAAAAACGTTCGGGTAATGTCTTGAATATATTCCATGAGATTTCGTTTTGATAAAGAGTTGATGAAAATGGAAGAACGATAGAAAGAGAGAATTTCTTCCATGGTCCAAGCTTCCCAGAGTTATCGATCTGTAAGAAAAGAGAGACGATACGCGTGTCTTTCGGTTAGTCTCAGTTCACATATACTTATGCAAATTTTCAAGGCTGGGCGAATGCAAATTTTCGCAAACACAAACACCGCAGGGACAGGTAAAACGCCCTAGGATATCGCAGTTGTTTATTCCCACAGGATATCGCTCGGAAAGGATACACCGTAACACCGTTGCCGGAACTCTCCTAGCTTATCGCTCGCGACGCTACGAGCAACGACAAACTCTAGGGTGATGCGCGGAAGAGAAAAAAAGAAAAAGAAAAGAAAAAAGAGGCTATAGTAAAAACGTTATCCGAGAGTCTCTCTTTCTCTTCCCAACAAAATTTTAACGTCGTCTAAACTTTTAGAAAATATCCATCGTCTAAAGTTTTTGCTTCCCTCGATCTCGAATAATATAGCCTAGGAACGATAAGATCCTGGCAAGAGAAAATCATTTTAGATCTCGATCGATTAACCTTCAGGAATTTGCAAGCATATGCAAATAAACATATGTATGCATACAAGTACGTACGTACGTATGTAAGTATGTATGTACGTTCAATGCATATTCATTCGCAACGCGTTCGTAAATAAACGCGTTATGTCGAATCGATTGATTTCCCACGCTCGATTTCAACTGAAATCACTCGAATTCCCGAGTTGAAAATCCTAACGAGAATGAAGCGTACTAGATCCATCGATCAATCTCTTTTATTCCTACCGCACGAAGTAATCATATCCTTATTATGGGAAAGAGAGCAATTGAAAAGAGGCGGTCTATAAAAATAGTCGGAGACTGTGTCCTCGTTTGAAACGCATCGCAATCTCAATCATCCGACCTATCTGGACGAGAAGTGGAAATTTTTGAAGAATTCGCAAAATCCGTCCGTCGCACCATTTCTCTCGTTCTCTCTCTTTCTCTCTCTCTCTCTCTCTCTCTCTCTCTCTCTCTCTCTCTCTCTCTCTCTCTCTAACTGTCTATCCATCTCTCTCCATCTCCCTCTTTTCTTTTCCCGTTCACTTTTTTCCCGTCTATTGTTGTCATTATCGTCGGCATTATTCCTCGCGAGTGAGATAGTCTCATAGCAGTTCATTTGCGTGATGGTCGTTCGCGGTTAATGCCCGGAAGCTACGTTTGTGTCGTAATTACGAAGAGTAGCAGCCCGTACGTTTCACGAAGATGTCGAAGAGAAAATAATGGATGGAAAAGGAACGTTACGGAGAGAGGGTAACGGCCGGAACGGTTACGACTAGTTTAATGGATCTTGTCTACAAATTTTCGTGAATCGTCAAAAGAGACTCTTTGGATCATAAGATTTTTTTCTTCTTTAATTAGAAGTAGTGTATCTCGTCGCTGACAGATCAAATTAGGTTGGTTAAGTGTAGTAAACTCAAAGGCATAACTTTAAAAAAGAAAATAAAAAGCAAGAAAGAAAAAAAAGAACAAGAAAAAGATCAACTACGGTAGATTCGACGAGAGGGAAAAAAGAGAGAGGGAGAGAGAGAGAGAGAGAGAGAGCCGCCGCGTTCGTTAGCCGTGCATTCGATCGAATGAATTCGAGTGAGGAAGAGTGGAAGAGAGAGAAAGAAAGAGAGAGGAAGGGAGGGAGGGAAGTAGAATGAGAGGAACGAATAAATAATTGCTATCTCGGTTTACGAGATTCCGCTTGTCGGTCAAATGCCATTTCATTTGCATTAACGAACCGTACGATCTATGTACATATGTATGTACATCCGTACCTACTACATCCTCTTTATGCACCTATACAAAATCCACTTGTACGAAATTCACTTACTTGTTATTAACAAAAATAAAAGTTAACTATTGCTTTAGATATCGTGGAAGTAGTCTATCAAGGATGAATTTCTAAACGGACGACGAGACGATACTGAAAGAATAAGAAAACATAAAGAATTCATTGCGGACGAGATTCTTTGAAATGTGCAGAGGTAGGAGACGTTCATCGTATAATTCTCAGTCGGCGTTTAGCATAATGCACTTTAAACGATCGGAAATCGAATAATAAATCGATTGGTACACGTGTACAAGAAAAATACGTCTCGAGAGTGTAAGAAGTCAAGAAGACGTAGAAAAAAAGAGAGAGAGAGAGAGAGCAACGTAAGCAATTATGATGGGCAAAGTTTCGATGACGAATGCGAAGAGCTCGGTTGCACATGGATGGAAACGTTCTTAGTTCTTTCTCGGTGAGGAGGAGCACACTATGCTGTCTCTCTCTCAAAGCGAAAAAAACGTGACGGTATGAAAGACCGCAGAAATATCGGGAAAGCCGGAAGCGCACGTACAAAGAGCTCTTTTGAGACTCGTTTTCATTTTGAATATGGCGCGTCGGAGTCACCGGTGGAAAGTCACGCTAAAATGTATTCCATTACACGAGCAACCAGCTGGATAAAGAGACCGCTTGATTTTTCTTTTTCTTTTTTTTTTTTTTTTTTTTCCTCGTGTTGGATACCTTCGGATTTTCGCGATTTTTCAGAGGAAAAAAAGAAAAAAGAAAAGAAAGAAAGGAAAAAGAGCGGCAGAGATTGCGTGAGAAGCCGTAAAAAGCCAAAAAAAAAAAAAAAGAAAACGGACAAATTTAAAGACGGCACGATGAAAAAAAACACGAATATTTTCTATTTCGTTTGTGTAATAGTAATATCTCAACGAAGATATTATTATTTCTTTCTTTCTTTCTTTTTTTTTTTTTTTTTTTTTTTTTTTTTTTTTTTTTTTTTTTTATAGAACGGAAAAGATTGAAGATAGTACGTGACGAGCAAGTAAGACGATGCGCAAACATTCGTCCCTGTAAGGCAATTGCTACGAGTAACAAAAAAAAAGTACGTGGGCGTTTTTAAAACCTTTAATAGATTGAATGGAGAATTATGGAAAACTTCCTCTTGGCATTGAGAATGGACCACCCGCGCGCGTAAGTACGCGCTTGTACGAAAAGATCGTGACACGCGTCAACACATGCCCGATTTATATGCTACATTCTCGGTACATTGTCGTCGCTCTTTTATCTTTCTTTTAAAATTCAAACTTTTTTGCTAACTTTTTTCTTTTCCTTTTTTTTTTTCTTTTTGTACCAGCGTTATCAGATATTGTTGTTCTTTCTTCCATCGAATCGGATCGCCATTCGGTGATATCGATGGATTTATAAAAAACAAAAAGAAAAATATATTAGCTTTTGCAAGAGAGCGAGACAGAGAGAGAGAGAGAGAGAGAGAGAGAGGTAGTAGGTTAAAACGATCGATGGAAAAAGTTCAACGACTCACCACTTTGCTTTTTTACTCTTCGAAGCGCTTGAACATTGGATGAAAGCGAGATTTGTTTAGATCCAATCGATAATTCAAACTATACGAGTTTGGTTGAGGAATAAAAGGAACGAAAAATAAAGAAAAAAAAAAAAAAGACAAAAAAAAAAAAGAAAAAGAAAAGAAGAAAAAAGAGAGAGAAAGAAAAGAAGAAGAAAAAAAGAGAAGAAAATATTTAAAGCCACCGTCAATGGGTCCTTTATCATTGGGGATTCTCGTCCACGAACGAACGAGTTCAAGCGCCAAACATTATTCGCCATCTTTTCGAGGCGGACTCGGCCGGACGGCAGCAGCCACTTCAAAAGAGGAAGCCATGAATCTTTATTAAATCCACGAAATTTATGTCGTAGCGGTCGCGTGGCTCGGGCAATGCGCGATATACCATTCCCTCCTTACTCGTATGTACCTAAGTATTTATTTACCTTCTCCCTCTCGATATATAACTTCCCCCTTTCCCTTTCCCGTCTTCCCCTAACTTCTCCTTATGCCGCTGTTGCCGCCTTCTCTCTGGACATTTGCTCCCGGCGACATTGTGAATCTCCAGCTTTCCAACTGGGACACGCGCCGATCCATTGTCGGTTTAATGCTCATACGTTGATCTCACCCCTATCTCATCTCCACTACCACAATTTTCCTTTCATTTGACACCATATATATATATATATATACATATATACGTATATACGTAAATACATAGGAGTCTTTCTCCCTGATAGAATTTCTGTCGAAGACACACGATAGCCCGACCGACCGGCCGGCCGACCGATCGACCGACCGACCAACCGTTCGAATCGACGAAACGTTCAATTTTATATGACAAAAACAAACTTCTCTTTTTATTGTCTACATTCAAAGGGTCTACATTGTTCTCATTTGATCCTCGATAATAGAAAGTGATAGTTATACGATCACTGGAGA